CATGTCAGGCTTCTCCAAGGGTTCCACTTGTATAGACCTTTTCAAATCCATCTGAGGAAATGGACTACAGGTAGGACACACACAGCTGCAAGTAACAAATAGTTCAGGCAATTATTTGACTTAGAAAGCAACTACTTTGAAAATATACATGATTTTTAACATTTTTCTACTGCCATAAAGGACATTATATGAGGCCAGTTGTGTTCATTGATCGTGAAAGACTAACAACCAAATAACACTAACACTGGCAGTTTTTCTCAGAAGTGAGGTAAGCCATACTTTTAAACTATGGATGTTAGTTTTAACATGGTGTTACACAAATCTATATCTGGTGCAACTATTTAGTAGTTCATCATTGATACTTAAAGGATGTTTATTCTATTATACATTATATGATTGTGATATATATTTAGATTATACATATTTATACATGAGTGTGTGTGTGTGTGTGTGTGTGTGTGTGTATTAAGCTAAGAACATGAGTTTAACCATAAGGACACTTGGGTTCTAAAATAATATCAGGGACTTCCCTGGCAGTCCAGTGGTTAAGACTTCACTTTCCAGTGCAGGGAGTGCGGGTTTGATTTCTGGTCGGGGGGCTAAGATCCCACATTCCTCTTGGCCAAAAAATCAAAACATAAAACAGAAGCAATATTGTAACAAATTCAATGAAGACTTTAAAAATGGTCCACATCAAAAACATCTTTAAAATAAAAAAAAAATATCAGCTAGATTGCAATTTTTATCAATTCATTTAATTTATCCAAAGCTCAACTTACCTGTAAAATGAGAGATTTGCACTAGATGGATTCTAGGATTGTGATTCTATGAAATTAGGTAACCTCTGACCTTGACAAGCTTAAAATTAGTTGAGGACATAGATCACATCCACAGGAAAATAGATTAAGAAGCATATGAGTAATTTAAAAACAAACACTAAAAAGGGAAGACTTCTTTTTTTTAATCAGTTTCTGGTGCAGATATTTGGGAAGGTCAAGATTACACCACTAACAAGTAGAAGACAGGTGAGTTTAAAAATTAAATGAGAGTGCTTCCCTGGTGGCGCAGTGGTTGAGAGTCCGCCTGCCGATGCAGGTGACACGGGTTCGTGCCCCGGTCCGGGAAGATCCCACATGCCGCGGAGCAACTAGGCCCGTGAGCCATGGCCGCTGAGCCTGCGCGTCCGGAGCCTGTGCTCCGCATTGGGAGAAGCCACAACAGTGAGAGGCCTGCGTACTGCAAAAAAAAAAAAAAAAAAAAAATTAAAGAAGGGTAGCAATTCTTAGTAGATAGAATTGTATAAGGGGAAAATGTTTTTTTTTCTCTCTCTTCATCATAAAATAACTGATTATCCAGAATACCAGGGCTTCCCTGGTGGCGCAGTGGTTGAGAGTCCGCCTGCTGATGCAGGGGACACGGGTTTGTGCCCCGGACCGGGAAGATCCCACATGCCGCGGAGCGGCTGGGCCCCTGAGCCATGGCCGCTGAGCCTGCGCGTCCGGAGCCTGTGCTCCGCAATGGGAGAGGCCACGGCAGTGGGAGGCCCGCGTACCGCAAAAAAAAAAAAAATACCAGAGCATTTCTACCTGCAGCCATTATAATGTCATTCCATATATGTACCTATTTTGTGTGATGGCTTGAAATCTTCCTAGAATTCCTAGATTATATGAATTCTATAATTCCTTTTAATTGTATCAAGAGGGTGATATTGGGAGGTTTTTGAAAGGATTATCAGAAATTATACATAATTGCTGGTTGTGTCACTATGGGGAACCCATGTAAAGTATCACCAAGGTTACAATTATAAACATAGTCTGACTCAAATTATTACCAGACATTACCAGATTTGGGTGAGGTTTCTAAAGGAAGAGAGCAGCAATTAGTCAAGCAACACATTTACTGAGTACCCACTGAGTACAAATTATTGATATTAAGCGTTGCTGAGTAAACAGAAACCAAAAAGAACAAAACAAAACACAACAGAAGTACTGTTGATGAAGCAGGTGGTGGTGAATAAAATTGATGGGATGGGAGAGTAATCACCTTCATTAAGTTTTATTTGGTGGAGAGTGCCTAGGCTTTAGAGAGGATGAAAGAAAGACCTCAAAGTGGAAAGAACATGGGATACGGAATATGATGCTTGGGGTCGAATCCCAGTTTAGTCACTTAGGTACAACCTTGGACAAATATTTTGTCTCAGTTTTTTCTCCTCTAAAATCGGTATAATAATGCTGATACATACCTTCTTTCAGGAGGCTGCAGTGAGAAATCAATGAAGAAATTGTTTTTAAACTGTAAAAAGTAAACATTTTATTTACATCCAGTGAGGTCCTTGACCAAACGGTGGGGTTTATTCTTTGTCATGTCTTCTCTGCACGGTTTACCCTTAACAGGACACCTGCTTTTGCCTGCACGTGTCAGCAAGCTTCCCCTTCCTTTCTCTCCCCTAACGGACTATGAGCTTTTTAGTAGCATGGCTTCTGTTTGCTTTCCATCCACAAGAAACAGTGATTTGCACACCATGACCATTCAATAGATTACTCGATAACAAAGTTTTACATAGGAACAGTTATTTGAGCTCTTTAAGGTAGTCTCACATGTGTCATTTACATGCAGCTGTCAGATTCATCTTGCTAGACATATTTCTGATGGTGTCATGTCACTGTTCAAAACTTGCCAAGTGTCTCATTTTCTACTGAATAATGTCTTTTTTAAATATACTTTTTAAAATTGAAGTATAGTTGATTTACAATGTTGTGTTAGTTTCTGGTATGTATACAGCAAAGTGATTCAGTTATACATATATATTCTTTTCCATATTCTTTTCCATTATGGTTTATTACAGGATATTGAATATAGTCTCCTGTGTTATACAGTAGGACCTTGTTGCTTATCTGTTTTATATATAGTGGTTTGTATCTGCTAATCCCAAACTCCTAGTTTATCCTCCCCCACCCCCTTTCCCCTTTGGTAACCATAAGTTTGTTTTTTTTTTAATTTGTATTGGAGTATAGTTGATTTACAATGTTGTGTTAGTTTCAGGTATGCAGCAAAGTGAGTAAGTTATACATATACATATATCCACTCTTTTTTTTTTGATTCTTTTCCCATATAGGCCATTGTAGATTATTGAGTAGAGTTCCCTGTGCTATACAACAGGTTCTTATTAGTAGCGTGTATATGTCAGTCCCAATCTCCCAATTTATCCCTTCCCCCATTATCCCCTGGTAACCATAAGTTTGTTTTCTATGTCTGTGAGTCTGTTTCTGTTTTGTAAGTAAATTCATTTCTGTCACATTTTAGTTTCCACGTATAAGTGATATCATATGGTATTTGTCTTTCTCTTTCTGACATCCTTCACTTAGTATGATAGTCTCTAGGTCCATCCATGCTGCTGCAAATGGCATTATTTCATTCTCTTTTATGAGACTGAGAAATATTCCATTGTATATATGAACCACATCTGCTTTATCCATTCATCTGTCAGTGGACATTTTAGGTTGCTTCCATGTCTTGGCTATTGTAAATAGTGCTGCTATGAATGTTGGGGTGCGCGGATCTTTTCGAATTAGAGTTTTCTCTGGATATATGCCCAGGAGTGGGATTGCTGGATCATATGTCAACTCTATTTTGTTTTTTGAGGAACCTCCATACTGTTTTCCACAGTGGCTGCATCAATTTACAGTCCCACTAACAGTGTAGGAGGGTTCCCTTTCCTCCACACCCTCTCCAACATTTGCTATTTGTAGACTTTTTAATGACGGCCCTTCTGACTGGTGTGAGGTGGTACCTCATTGTAGCTTTGATTTGCATTTCTCTAATAGTTAGCGATGTTGAGCATCTTTTCATGTGCCTATTGGCCATCCGTATGTCTTTTTTGGAGAAATGTCTATTTCGGTCTTCTGCACCTTTTTTGATTGGTTTGTTTTTTTGTTATTGAGTTGTATGTGCTGTTTGTATATTTTGGAAATTAATCTCTTGTTGGTCACATCATTTGCAAATATTTTCTCCCAGTCTGTATTTAATATACTTTTAATTGAGATATAATTGACATGTAACATTGTATTAGTTTTAGGTGTACAACAAAATGATTAAAATCTTAACTCCTATCTGAGCTCTAAGGTCTTGCTACTCAACCTGTGGTCTCCAGATCGGTAGCACTGGCACCACCTGGGAGCTTGTTAGAAATGCAGATTCTTCAGCCACATCCCAGACCTGCTGAATCAGCAACCGCACTTAACAGGATTCCTAGCCAATTCATATATACAGCTTTAACTACATCTTCACTCTCTTGCTAAACTTGAAGATTCAGAAGTAGGGTTAGATTTAGCAAATAAAATTAGCAGACATCCAATAAAATTTGAAAACAATGAATAATTGGTATATCTCAAATGCTTCATGGGACATACTTATACTTAAAATATATGTTCATTGTTTATCTGAAATTCAACTTTTACTGGGCTTTTCTGTATTTAATCTGGCAACCCTATTCAAAAGGGTACGATCTATGTTTAACATAACTCTTTATTCCCCTGCAATAGTGCAGAGCCTTCCCCAACTTCTTAATATGTTCGTTTAAGGAACAGACAATGAGTTTCTTCAGAACTGAGGTTTCTCTGGCTTTTACTTAACACTGTATATCTCCAGAAGCGAACACAGTATCCCACACACAATAAAGGACCAGCAGTTATTTCTTTAATGAATATATCCAGAACATCTTCCAATTATGTACTGGGTTGTATGTGCATATTTTAATGAAGGCCGAATATTTTTCTCGTAATCTTTTTTTTTAAACCAGAATGTTTAAAAGCTATTTGTGCACTTTCTCACATTTTAGCTGGCGGAGTTCAGGATTTGATGGGAGTATAATCAAGGGCTCAGCATGTACTCATCGCAGACTGGGTCCATATGGTCACTGGTGGGGAAAGAATCCTCGACCCAGGATACTGACAAGCCTGCCTCAGGCGGAAGTAAGCAACTCCTCCCGGTTCCTGGGCCTCCGAGGCACCCGCGCACGCGCACAGCCGTGCTCTGGCCCCGTGAGGCGGGCGGAGGGAGGCGGAGCTCCCGGGGCGCGTGCGCGGCGGCCGGGGCTGTGGGCCCCTCCCTTGTCGGGGTCGCGCGGCGCGGAGGACCGCACCGAAAGGGGGAGGTCAGGTGGCCGCTGCTGCCGCCGCCGCCGCGGTTTGTCGCCAGAAGGAAAATGGCGGATCTGGAGGAGCAGTTGTCTGATGAGGAGAAGGTAAGGGCCGCGGGGGCGGCAGAGCCCATCGGTCCGGGAAGCCAGTAGAGCCCCGCCGTATCAGCCCGGAGTCTGGCCGCCGGGGAAGGGCATTGGTCGGTGCCCCCGGCTGCCCTTCCTTCCCCTCTCCTCGCTGCGCCCGAGTGCCTGCCCCTGTCAGTCACCCGAGGCCCCGCGCGGGGGCAGGTCTCCGCCAGGCCTGCTCGCTCCGCTCCTTGTAGGGTGTGTGCTCCGAAAATAGGTAGCGGGAGCTGGGCGGCGGCGGCGGCGGGCGGGGGCCGGGGGCGCGGAGGGCGGCGGCCGCTGGGGACCCTCTCCCCGCGCATGGGCCACGGGGGCCCTGCGCCAGGGTCGGGGACTACAGAGGGGTCTGGGTCCCGGCCTGGGAGCGGCCCAAGGACAGTACTCAGCCCGATGGCCTGGCCGGAGAGGGTGGCCGGGGTGAGGGCTAAGGGGGAAAAATTGCTTAGGAAGCAGACCTTGACTTCTCTCTTCTAGTCTATCCTCCCACAAGCAAACTGCTTTCTTTCCTGGGTCGTACGTTTTTTTTCCTTTAGCCGTGGAAGTCTCTCTCTCTCTCTCTTTTTTTTTTTTTTTCTTTTTCGGTTTTAGCTGTAGGCAACGAAGTTGCTCATAAAAAGACACCCCCCTCCCCACGGTTGTTTGCTACTCTTTTGTTGGCAGTAGCCGCCCTGGGGGCCGACTTGGTAGCGCCCCGTGGTCCTGCTAGGACTTCTTCCGAAGAGGGGAGATTGTGGAACTCCTTTTACTGTATCTTAGATGCTGTGACAGCATTAGAACCAGATGAACGACTTAAGTTCTCAGGCATTTGAAGTAAGAAATCTGATCATTGAACTGGATCTCTCTTATTCGCGGTTTCCTTTGGCCTCTGTGAGGCCCCGTTCTGCAGAGTGTGTTTTGGGACACAGGGGTACCCTCCTAATTTTAAGTATTTCCTGCACAGGTCCTTGATGTTTCTCAAACTCAGAAGTAACTGACATAACAATGAATAAGATAGTTAAAGTTTTCGAAGACTCCACTCTTAATTTAACAGGGGTCATTTTTAAGTTCCAAAGCAGTACAGCCATGTATGAAACACAAACACATAACTGGTGTTTAAGAAATCCTCATGTAAGCCTGCGGATATTTTCGGTTGGAACGCTCTGCTCCAAGTGTTTTTATATCCTGTGTTCTTGTACTGAAATGTCATGTTCTGTCTTCTTCCCGATGTGAACGTGCAGCAGTCAGCCTTATCTTCAGTTCCAGAAATCTTTTTTACCTCTGTGCTCTTTGGTGAAAGTGATAATGAAACGACAAAATGGGGAGAGCAGGAAGATTCTCCATAATCCACAGTCCTGGTAGGCAGATCCCTGTATACACAAAAGTTGCTGTGCAGTTTTCACACGTGTAATATTGGTAAATAACCATAAATGGGTAACTGAAAATGTATGCAGGTGCTCACACACATTTAAAATTAAGTAGTACTGAAAAGTTTTTTTAAAGGGATTGTCATGTTTTTTATTCTGCTGTTGGTAAGTGGTGATTAGTAGCTCAAGTGGCTAGAAATCTAGCTGAGGAGAGAGTACTCAGTGTGGGAGTTAATATAGGCCTGCCATGTGTTGTAAAGACCTAAAATAGCAAAGTTTTTTCAAAATGATATGACAGGATTTCTTGTCATCCGGCACTCTCAGGGCACTGAGCTCCATAAAGGTGTGGGGCTGGGTGGGAAGGGGTCTTATTCTCTATGCTCGTCCAACACCATGTTTTAACAGTAAATGAATGAAAACTCCAATTTGAAGGAACTTTGTGGGTTTGTTTTTATTTCGAGTTTTGTAAGACTATTCTGTGGATATTTTGCATATAAATTTCTGATCACATCTTTTAGTAATTTAAGAAAAATATTAACCAAACTGTGAGGTTAAATTGAAGTAACTGGTAAAGTGAAATTCTAAGTCTTGTCACTTTATTTAAATGTTCTTTTTAATCTCTTGGGAGGAGGACCTTGCATATAGAATCAGAAAGAGGATTTAAAGGTGTTATTTTTTAAACTAATATTTAAATCATTTTACTTTTTCTGCCACCTTGTTTGTAATTTTCAAAAATACATTTTTAATACTTAATTTAAAGCTCTTGGAATTTCCATTACTGACTGTGGAAGTAAGGAAGGGAAGCTGTTAAGACTTAGTAGTACCATACTTTGTATATGCCTGGTTCAGTTAGACAATACATTTGTTAATTTGTTGTAAGTTTGAGCTAGGTTTGATTATTACCATTGCACAAATAAGTAAAATAAATTTTTAAAAGCTTTAAGTAATTCACAAAAGGACACCTAAGTAGGAAGTGCAAAGGCGGTATTTAAGCCTGAGTTTGTCTGAATCCAAAGTTGATGCTCTTGTGACATTACACTTCTTAACAATTGATGATAGAATCCTTTTCTGGATTTATCTCTTTGTGTTAAATTTGACAGCTTAATTTGGAAAAGGGAGAAACAATAGTTCTCTTTGTTTTTAATAGAAGTTGTAAGTGCCAAACACTAAATGGTGTTGGGTTTTAAATTTAATTTGTGTTTGATCGTTTTAGAACAAAGTTTATTATTGTTTGACACATTTAAAAGTTTTATGCTGTTGGTGTAGTTTCATATATGTCCTGTGGTAGGAAGCATTTTAGAAATTAATCGAGAATAATATCTTTGCTTTTTTCAGTTATATACAGTTGCTTTTTGAGGATACCGGTATGAAATGTAATAACCTTTTCACTTTCGGCCACTGGGTTAGTAGGAAATAAAATTATCTGAAGAAGCACAATGAAGTTGTTTAGTTATTCATTTGTCGTGGTGTGTCCTACAGACCTTTTTACATAGTTACAGAAACTCTAGGTTAGAACAGTTCATGTTTTCCCCTCCTGGGTCAGCTGCACTGTACAGTAAAGCATTTTTTGTGATTGAAATTATATGAAATTGTGGTATAAGGCTCAGATAAGAACTATTCCCAAACTGCTCTCTAAGTGAGAAATCCTGGAAGTCACTTGAAGCTTTGGAAGACACCCTACCACCGCCCCCACCGCCCACCAACCTCTTCTACCTTCCCCCAGTGAGTAGAGTGATCCGCTCGCATAGCTTCAGCTTTTGTATCTTTGCAGATGTCTCAAGTACCTAGCTCAGCCCTGCTTCTCCCCTTAGCACTGGTCATACATTTTTATCTGCTGGTCCTCTTCCACAGAAGACAGTTAAGGAGATATGCTCAGATGGAACCTGCCTGAAAGTAAATTCATAAACTCCCCTCCTCTCTGTCCCTACACAAAGCAGGGCAGATACCCATCTCTTTCTGCTCATATTTCTCTTTATGACTCTATTCCCATTATTCAAGTCATCCAGGTTTTTAACTTCAGCTTTAACTTTTTTCCTCCTTGTGCTCTCTGTACCTTACACTTAGTTTCCAAACCTTGTCACTTCCATCAGAATGTGTCTTACAGAAATTATTTCTTGCTTGAAAAGTTCATTTATATTAATATTTGATTTATAACCTCTCAGTTGACCAGACCATTAACAATTTATGTTATGAACTACTGTTGTTTAGTAACAAACTTGTACTGTATGAACAGAATGCAGATTGATTGTACCTGTTCTGTGACTACACAGTTGAGGAAGAAACAAAGCTAAGGGAGAAGTAAGGTTAGAAGAATGTCTCATATCTGTTTCATTTGCCACTGCTGGACTTTTATTATAAACTTTCTAGACAAATCCCTCCATCTTCCTATCATTTTTCTACTCCCAAACTTTTAGTTGCTGCATCCTCCATTGCCTTTACAGGGAAGCCCAACTCTTGAAAATGGTGTTCATGTCCTTGTATTCCATTCTAACCTAAATAGTTCTGACATTTCCAATATATACTGTTATTTAATCATGCTGTGAATTCAAAGAGACCTGCATGCTAGTCCATGCCTAGCACATGGAGTAAATTATTTAATCTCTCAGCAGCCTCAGTTTCCTCTAAAATGTGGGGATATAACAGAAATTATATTCCCCATTAAACTTCTATAAGTGCACATGTTGCCTGGCATGTAGTAAACACAATACATTTTAGTTATTTTTCTCTGCTCATGACTTACCTGCTTTGAGCATTGGTACTGCTCCCCGATCTGTCCCCTTTTTTGAAAGATGAAAAATTACTCTTCCTTCAAGATTTAGCTCAGATCACATGGCTAGTTTTTTCTCTCCTGAACAACTGTTTTCTCTCTCTCCTGAACGCTGAAACACATCATTAATATTGAATACAGTTTTGCGTAGTAGTTATCTGTTTACCTGTCTTTTTTCCTGTATTCTGTTGAATTCGTTAGTGCAGAAATGTCATCTTTAGCATCTGTCAGTGCAATGTATGGGATGAGTACAATGGTTCAGTGAGTGAATGAACAAAGGAGTAATGAATTTACAAAATTAAGGAAAAAATAACAGTTTTATGAAAAGAAGTAGCATATAAAGGTAAGTTTTGGAGGGAAAATCTAGTATGCCTACATTTTTCACTTCTAAATAGTGTTATAGATTTTAAAGATTTAGGTAGTTAAGTGAAATTCCTGGTGCTCCTTGAGGTGCAGGTGGTGATACTGGCTATGGTTCAAATCACTTACACATGCTAAATATTTATAAGCAGTTTGTATACTTCTCCCCCCCACACAATCATAATGTGGTTTCACAAGTTTTGTTTGTATGTATTGATAAAAGCAATGTAAGCTGCCATTATATTCCATCATAATTAATGTAAAATCAGTAGTGTTCTTATTAACTAAAAAGTAAACTCAACCAGTAAGCGATTAATGTAGAAATTATTCATTCCTAATTTCATTCTGTAGGTGAATGAATTCTGTCATTGCACCAATAAAATGTAAAAATTCCTACAGCAAGCAGAAACTTGATAGCTGCTGCAGCATTAGTGGAGTTTTTTAGACTTTGCACACTAAAGCAAATTTGTAGTACATTCTCAGTGCATTGGGGAGTCATTTCTACA